CTGCTTCTTGCGCTGGCTGAGGGCTACGGGGAGCAGGGGGTGGGGCTTGTTCCATGTGCCCGCCCCCTGGGCTCTTTACTGCTGAAACTCTGCTCCTGTGCGCTCCTGCAGGAAACGACCCCTGGGTAGTTGTGCTAAATGGTTGGACTGCCAGGGCTCAGGGGCTAGATGTAACCCTGTAACTGTAGAGCTCAGCAGTGTGCTACGGAGGGAGAGAGAATTCCCAAATCATTCACCCCCCCCCCCAAGCCTATGATTCCTGCACGCACTAACTTGATTTGAACGCACGACGGAAAATAAATGTTTCAACCGTCTGTCTAGAGGGCAGGCAGTTTGGTGCCAGATGCAGAAACCTCATGGGGGAAGGCGTTCCACAGAGAGTCCCGCCAGCAAAGCCCTGTCGTACTATCGGAAGGTCCCTGTGAAGAGCCCCAACTCTTTATACGCTAGTTGGAAATAGAGACTCTCCTGCTTGAGTCAGGTTTGTGAATCATTCTGTTTGTCGCCACGAGAAGGTAAGCTTCATTCTCACCTGGGAAAACAGAGTCATGCGCGTCTGATCTCACCCTGCCAGAGTCATCTTCTGTGGGGGTTTGATGCCGAAAGGGACTCTGCCAGTCTGGAGGGTGACGTGAGGAATTTCCCTCCGCTCTTTTGGGAGGCCTCCCTGGAGAAGACTCGCCTCACTTCCTGTTTCCAGCCAGTAGCTTGTCACATGCCTGTCTCTCTGCTTGGTAGCCAGTCTTTCACAGTAGGAGTGTTCCAGCGGTACTGAGCCTCCCTTGGCAGTTAGTAGGAGAGAAGGCGGAAAGTGGCTGCAGCGTAATCTGGGGAAAAGGTACCCACCACAACTTCTCATTTCTCTTTGAGGGCCCCTGCTGCTCTTAGCAGTTCTTAAATCAGAAGCAGGTTCCTGGCAGCTTGCCGGTCGGGTTGCCAGGTCCCCCCGGGGGGCGGGGAAACCCCTGCTCGATCGCCCCGTTCCCTGCCAGCCCAGGATCGGGCCGCGGGGGGAACCCCACCCCCAAAATGCTGGCGTCATGTCGGGCACATTGCGGGGGGACACTCTATGATTCGAGGGAAAACTCTATGGTTTTCCCTCGATTCATAGCTGCCCCACCCCCAACGTGCCTGGCGTGATGATGTCACTTCCTGGTGGCGTCATGGCAGCATGTGCGCAAGAAGACTCCCGGCAAGGGCAGGAACTCCCCCCGCTGCTGCCCAGGTAGGGACTTGGCAACCCTACTTGCCGGTCATTATGTCATGGGCATATAACCCCCAGTATGGCCCCATCTCTAGACACTTTTCAGAACCTAAATTCTAGCAAACCGTGTGCCAGAAAACCAGTGTAGTGTAGTGTAGTGGTTGAGAACGGTGGCATAGTGGTTAAGAGCGGGGAACTCTAATGTGGAGAACTGGGTTTAATTCCCCCAGACCTCCACATTAAGCCTGCTGGGTGACCTTGGGCCAGTCACAGTTCTCTCAGAGCCCTCTCAGCCCCACCTACCTCACAGGGTGGCTGTTGTGGGGAGGGGAGGGGAAGGGAAGGGAAAGGAAATTGTAAGCCACTTTGAGCCACATGAGGCCTGCTGGGTGACCTTGGGCCAGTCACAGCTGGCCACATGCTCCCACCAATCAGCTGGAGGGCCATTTTAATGTCATAGGAGGGGAGGGAGGGGGAAGAGGGGTGGCAGCTGTTGTGGGGGGCATGCCTCAAATTTGAGGGGGCAGAGTCCCGAAATGCCTCACTGTGGCTATGGGCCTGCAAGCAAGTGATAGTGATTTAGGACTGTACTGGTTTCTTCCATCCTTTTGGTGCAGGAGCTCATTAGCATAACTCATTAGCATAACTCATTAGCATATGCCACACCCCCTGACATCACCGGAAGTGTGTCAGAAGGCAACACCCACCGCTCAGGCTCCACTTGACTGTTTTGGATTGCTAGCTATACAGGTGGGGGAAATGTGCAGATTTGTCCTCGCAGAGGAGGGAGAGCCTGTACCTGAATAAAAGTTGGTCTTAAAGGTGCCACTGGACTGTTTTGTACCGGGGGCCTTGGGGGGGGGTCTGCAGCTTACCTGGCTGCTTCTTGCTCTGACTGAGGGTTGCTGGGAGCAGGGGGTGGGGCTTGCTGTATGTGCCCACCCCCTGGGCTCTTTACTGCCGGAGCTCCGCTCCTGTGCGCTCCTGCAGGAAATGACCCCTGCTTGTCTTACTTCCTTGCTTCTCCTCTGCGAAGTTCTTCCAAAGTTCTGGATGTGAGGGTGTGTGTGTGGCAGATTTAAAACCAGGCAAGGACCCTCCTGAACAATTCTTTCCTTCCCCTCTCTGATTTGGCAGTGGGAAGCAGCGAAAGGGGGTAAGGAGTGTTATGCGACTTGGGGGGTCATGAAACTGGGGGGGGGGAGAGGGCTCCGCAGCTACAGAGGGGAGAGTAAAGGAACTCGTTTCCCTGCATTCCACTAGGGGAGAGGAGGGCTCCCTTAGGCACCCAGCCCTACGGAGGATTCACATGCCCGTGTGATCAGCCTACTGGGACGTCCAGAGCTGCTTGCTTGTTCTATGTTGGGGAGGGGCCGTGGCTCAGCAGCGGAGCCATCTGCTTGGCGTGCAGAAGGTCCCAGGTTCTGTTCCTGGCATCTCCAGCTGAAAGGGCCAGGCAGGAGGTGGTGTGAGAGACCTCTTCTGCCTGAGACCCTGGAGGGCGGCTGCCAGTCTGAGTAGACAACACTGACCTTGATGGACCGAGGGTCTGATTCAGTAGAAGGCAGCTTCATGGGTTCCTACGTAACTAAATATCGTCTTAATGGTAGCTTCTTGTATAGAAGCGGTGTGCTCTTTCTTTTAAAAACCTTTTTTTGGGGGGGTATTTTTTGAATTTTCCGCGTGTGCTTGTGTGTGCGTGCCCATGCCTAGAACTCATGGCGACCTCTGGTGACTCCTACTGGGGCATGGAGGACATTCAGAGGAGTGGTTTGCTAGCCTGTCTCTGCCTCTCAACCCCGGTATTCTCTGGAGGTGTAGTGGTTAAGTGCGCAGACTCTAATCTGGGAGAACCGGGTTTGATTCCCCACTCCTCCACTAGCACCTGGCTGGGTGACCTTGGGTCAGTCACAAGCTCTGGCACAAGCTCTGGCACAGCTGTCCTTGAAAAAGAGCAGTTTGTGTCAGAGTTCTCTCAGCCCCACCCACCTCACAGGGTGTCTGTTGTGGGGAGGGGGAGGGAGAGGAGTTTGTAAGCTGCTCTGAGACACCTTTCGGTAGTGAAGGGCGGGATATAAATCCAGTCTCCTCCTCCTCCTCCTCCTCCTCCTCCTTCTCTAATCTGGGAGAACCGGGTTTGATTCCCCACGCCTCCACTTGCGGCTGCTGGATGACCTTGGGCAAGCCGTAGTTCTGTCAGAGCTGTTCTCTCAAGGACAGTTCTGGAAAGAGCTGTCTCAGCCCCACATACCTCACAGGGTATCTGTTGTGGGGACGGGAAGGGAAAGTAGATTGTAAGCCGCTCTGAGACTCCGAGTCAAGGGCGGGGTATAAATCTAACGTCCTCCTCTTCTTCTTCTTCTCCTCCTCCTCCCCATCCGAGTACCTTCCAGGGTCGGCCCTGCTTAGCTTCCGAGACCTGGATGAGATCGGGCTTGCCTGGGCTACCCAGGACCGGGCTTTCTTTTAAAAACTTTTTGAAAAGTATGCGGTGCTCCATGCGCTTTCCTCGCCTGTATTCTACACTGGTGTGAAGTAGTGGTTAAGAGCAGTGGATCTGGAGAACGGGGTTTGAGTCTCCTGGAGACTTTAATCTGGAGAACCAGGTTAGATTTCCCCACTCCTCCTCCACATGAAGCCTGCTGGGAGACCTTGGGCCAGTCACAGTTTTCTCAGAACTCTCTCAGCCCCACCTACCTCACAAGGTGCCTGGTGTGGAGAACGGGGTTTGAGTCTCCTGGAGACTTTAATCTGGAGAACTAGATTTGATTCCCCACTCCTCCTTCACATGAAGCTAGCTGGGTGACCTTGGGCCAGTCTCAGTTTTCTCAGAGCTGTTCTCTCAGAGCTCTCAGTCCCTCACAAGGTGCCTGGTGTGGGGAAAGGAAGGGAAGGCGATTGTAAGCTGCCTTGAGAGAGCTGGGTGACCTTGGGTCAGTCACCGTTCTCTCAGAGCTCTCTCAGCCCCACCTACCTCACGCGGTGGCTGGTGTGGCGAGAGGAAGGGAAGGCCATTGTAAGCCACTCTGAGACTCTCTTGGGTAGTGAAAAGCGGGGTATGGAAACCAACCCTTCTTGTAGGGAAATAAAAAGCAGGGTATAAAAACCTCCTCTTCTTCTTCTAGGACGTGAACAGTTTCATGGCCTTGGATCAATGTACTGCCGGGGAGCGGCTGCCGTTATCCTCACCTACGACGTAACCAACTTGCAGAGCATAGTGGAGCTGGAAGATCGGTTCCTGGCCTTGACAGACACGGCCAACGCAGACTGCATCTTTGCTGTTGTCGGGAACAAAGTGGACCTCACGGACTCCTGCGCCCTCCTGCCAGAAGCAGAAGACGAACGTCCATCTGAGAAACCCGCCAGTGGCTGTGTTCCTACCAAAGTGAAAAGACAAGTCCACGCGGATGATGCTATCGCACTTTATAAGAAGATCCTGAAGTACAGAATGTTGGATGAGAAAGACGTGCCGGCGGCAGAAAAAATGTGCTTTGAAACTAGTGCAAAAACTGGATACATGGTGGACCATCTTTTTGAAACTGTGTTCGATATGGTGGTACCGACAATTTTGGAGCAGAAGGCGGAAGGACCTTCACAAATTGTAGACTTAAATAATTGCAAGACAGCCAAAAACACACAACGTTCCTGCTGCAGATAAACCATTACTATGAAATCCCCCCCCCCATACTAAATTGAGGAGTATAGCAGTTTAAATTGGGGAAGGCTACAACACAGACGGCTGTCAAGGTTAACGTGAGGAAATCCATTTTTCAGAATAGGTCTTCTGTAAACTTTGACCAGAGTAAAAGAATGGGGAGGTAATAGAAGTGGAGCAGATTATTTAAGAGAAGGAGAACAGTGATTTTTAAAACAGTAACACTTTCATACTAGCCATTACTCTGAAACTTCCAAATCATTCTTTGGCATCTTAACCTCTGTGTACTTTCCACCCATGAGATGTTTCACTGATCTGTCACTGCTTTTAAAAGACACATCTTTCACTGTTTTGATCTGGTAATAAATATTTTTGGATTATTTGCATAACTTTGTGTAAGCAAAGATAGGTTGCTTGCTTGTGTGACGTACTTTTTAGGGAGAGATGCCGGTGTATCTGCTCTCAACTCACAAAGTCCCTGCGCACGCTTCCTCGGTGTATCTGCTCTCAACTCACAAAGTCTCTGCGTGGCTCGCTTCCTTCAGACTTGCAGTAAAGCTAGCTTCAAATTAGTTCTGTCCAATGCTCCCTCTAAACTGTGGAGTCCTGTGACTAAAAATTCTACTTTGAGAACTACTGGCCTTAAAGTTGTGCGCGAGCGATTTGCCTACTGCATAAAGTAGTTTGCTCTGGAGCCATCCTTCCTGAGCTAAGACAAAAATGTGTGAGCCAGAGGCTAAAATACCTGTGAGCTAGCTCACACCAACTCAGCTTAGAGGGGACGCTGGCTTCTGTCCCCTTTCTTCTCATAGTTGTAATGCTGTGGCTGCAGTTAATAGCAGGAAAGCAGGAGATCGCCTATACCAGTGATGGCGAACCTTTTAGAAACCAAGTGCCCAAACTGCGACCCAAAACCCACTTATTTATTGCAAAGTGCCAACACGCCAATTTAACCTGAATACTGAGGTTTTACTTTAGAAAAAACAACTCATACATTAACTTAAGATGATCCAAACAAAGTAAGGAAAGCTATCCCAAATGCTTTCATCTACTTAAAATTATTTGGCAGAGAATTTGACACTTTAATGATGGTCTGGGCCTGGCTGGGGGGATGGCAGGCGTGCCCACAGAGAGGGCTCTGAGTGCCACCTCTGGCTCCCGTGCCATAGGTTCGCCACCACTGGCCTATACCATATTCCAAATATATCTCCAGTTGATTGTCCGGAGTAGTGGAACCCAGTTAACAGTGAGTGGGCGAGATGTTAATTGAAGAAATTATACCAGTATTGGCTGGCAGAAATGGGGAGAGCTTTTATAAAGCTACTTGGAAGTTCAGTGTATTTGAGTTTGCCTTGAATTTAGAGTTTAATTCAGTGATTCTTAACCTTTTAATCCTTGTCCTAGATCAGCCGTTACTTGGTGAGTTTAGTTTCGGGAGGGTAGCCGATTTGGTCTTCAGTAGAACAGCCGGATTCGAGTCCAGTAGCACCTTGGATTTTGGGGGAGTCTGAGGTTTCGAGAGTCAGAGCTCCCTTCGTCAGATAGTTTTTGACTCACAGACATTCAAAACCTTCACAAAGTTTGGGGAGGTTGAAGAAGAAGAGATTGGATTTATACCCCACCCTTCACTACCTGAAGGAGTCTCAGAGCAGCTTACAATCGCCTTTCCTTTCCCCTCCCCACAACAGACACCGTATGAGGTAGGCGGGGCTGAGAGGGCTCTTTTGAGAACTGTCCTTGAGAGAACAGCTCTGAGCGAACTTGTGTCTGACCCAGGGTCACACCAGCAGCTGCTTGTGGAGGGAATCGAACCCGGTTCTCCCAGATTAGAGTCCGCGCTCCTAGCCACTACACCAAACTGGCACCATCTCCCTTACTGCGGAGCCTTTGAATACCCCCTGGTTTATTTTATCTTGCTTCATTTATACCCCATTTTTCTTCTCAGTGGGGCCCCAAAGTGGCTTACAACATTCTCCTTTTTGTCCTCACAACAGCAGCCTTGTGCTCCCTCCCCCCCGGTCATCCTGCAAGCTTCCATGGCAGAGAGGGGATTTGAACCTGGGTCTTCCTGATCCTCATCCCATACTCCCAAAACATTTGCAGTGATGGGCAGAAAAAGTGCAAGTGGACGAAAACTCAGCCATTGGGTTGATTGAGATGAAATTTTATATCCCATCCTTCACTTGGAGTCTCAGAACGGCTCACAATCTCCTTTCCCTTCCCCTCCCCACAGCAGACACCCTGTGAGGTAGCTGGGGCTGAGAGAACTCTGAGAAAACTGCTCTTGACAGCACAGCTCTGAGAGAACTAAGACTGGTCCAAGGTCACCCAGCTGGCTGCATGTGGAGGAGTGGGGAATCAAATCCAGGTCTCCAGATTAGAGTCCACCGCTCTTAACCACTACACCACACTGGTGTAAACACAAAATGGCATAAATGCATTGCTCTTATGTGTACTTTATTGCCGGGGGGGGGGGGGAGCCAATATATTTCTTCAATGATCTCTGGGTTTTCGTATCCCAATTTTGCCATCACATGTTTAGGAACAGACTTGTAACCCCTCCCTAGTACCTAGATGACTGGAAAAAGCACACAGCTGTCCCAAATCTTTGCTATTTGAGGCTACCTCTTCCCCCCCCTCCCCAGGGTGCCAAAAACAAACTAGGTAACTCCTGCTGCCACTGGTGCACTAGAAAGCATCTCCTGCTAAATAGAGTCAAAAGGCTAGCACACTGTATCTACATTGTCTTTTAGAGGGTCTGCCTAGTGGCAGCGCCTACCTGCTTTGCTCCGGCAAGCTAGTGCAGAGGCAATCTATCACAACAACTGCACACTATCAGGCTTCATGGATGGTAAACAGGGCCGGGCCCAGCTTATTTTGCCCCCTAGGCGAGGATCCCTTATGGTGCCCCCCCTGCCCCCCCCTGCGCTCCCCCTGGTCAGAGCCAGCGGGGGGGCTTTTGGCGGGGGGCAGGTGCAGTTTGGCGCCCCTCGTCAGGGCACCCAGAGAAGAGGCTGACGGGCAGGGCACTCACAAGCCGTCGCTCCCCTGGCCCTGCTGCTGCTACTGCAACTGCCAGTCCCCGGCTGTGAGGAGGAGGCTTTTGGTGTGGGTGGGTGGGTGGGTGCAGTTTGGCGCCCCTAAGGGCCGTCACTCTCTAGGCGAATGCCTAGTTCGCCTAGTGAGTGAGCCGGCCCTGATGGTAAACTTACCTGCTGCCCATTCCCATTACTATGATTCAAATAGCAATGCCGAATAGGTGTGCTGTGTTTCCAAAGAGCTTTAAAAATATAAGTTTAATAAAATAATTAAAAAGATACATACGTTCTTTTCAAGCATTCATGCTGAGCAGGGGTTCAAAGAAAAGGTGAAACATGCAGTTCTCTTTATGCTCAGAACTTATCCTAAACAATGTTTAAATAGGACAGACTGGCTTTATTTGAAGTTTAAAGCTCCACATTACCTTAGTTCTCTGGGTTGGATCTTCTCTCCATTGTCCTTGGTCATGCAGACAAGATGGAGCCCCTAGGTAAAACTTAGGTGAAACTTGTGCCTTTGTGTTCAGAGAATTTGTAATCTACCGTGGGAGAGACTTTCCCCCCTGAATCATTTAGATCTTCCTGTCCCGTGAAGAAAATAATATGTTCTAGCAATCTGGCTGTTTCCTTTCTTTCCCTGGGTGTCACTTTCCAGCAGGGTTTTGGGAGATAATCTATTGTCCTGCTTTGGCCAGATCAAAGTGGAGAAGAAAAAACTATGGTACAGTATGGAAGATTTTAATCATGGCTACTGCAAAACAGTTTTGCCATGTTCAGTATGCACTCTTGTTGTTGTTTTTTTTAAATCTGTTTGTATGTTAATGAAAAAAATCTGGTTTTGTATATTATTTTAGATTCCCTGATGACGCAGCATGCAAAATGCATAGGGATCTATGAGGGAAACATCATAATCTTTTCCCCATTGCACCATTGTTTGTTCTTCTATACTTTGCATCTGTGCAGCCCTCAGTTTTTGCTGCTTTGGCCAGAGTCATTAGCAGAACCAACTGGTTGAGTGCTCTGTGTTTGAAGCTTGATAGTGCCTTCTCCCAACCCACCCACCCCCTTCCTGCCAGCTACAGGTCTGCAGCTGGGTTCAAGCTCACAGACCAAGCACACTCCGCGGTTGCATTTTGCCAATAAAATCATTTGCATCTGCCACTATTTGGATACTGCAGTTGGTTCAGTTAAATCATAGGAGACACCACTGGAGTTCAGTTTGGTCCTAGTTATATGGATGACTGGTGAGGCCTGACGAGGCAGACAAGATGCTTAGGAGTGGGCGGCCCACCATGTCTGGGCTTGATCCTTGCCCTTTGTGGCTGATAATACTAAACCAGATTGGATGTGGTGGTTAGGAGCGCGGACTCTAATCTGGGAGAACCGGGTTTGATTCCCCCCACTTCTCCACAAGTTCTTTCAGAGCTGTTCTCTCAAGGGCAGTTCTCGAGAGAGCTCTCTCAGCCCCACCTACCTCACACAGGGTGTCTGCTGTGGGGAGGGGAAGGGAAAGGAGATTGTAAGATGCTCTGCAACCTTTTTGGGTAGTGAAGGGTGGGGTATCAATCCAATCTCCTCCTCCTCTTCCTCCTCCTCATGAGTCTGGGAGGTAATAATGCCTTCCTGTGAAAGAAGGTTGTTCCAAGGGCTTTGAAAGAGACAGTTGTGAGAACCTTCCGGAAGTTGGACACCCTGGACCCAAATTACCTAGATAACCCAGTGGCCACCACCCCACTGTTGGGGAAGGTACTGGAATGTGCTGTGGAGGTTATCTCCATTCAGGCCTGGGGCTGGGAAACAGCCTTGTTCTGCCTGACTGGACTGAGTACATCCCTGTTGATTCTCTTGGATATCTCAGTGGCTTTTGATAGCATTGATGATGGTGTCCTACTAGAGGGGCAAGCTGGGCTGACAGTGGAGGAAGGCCACACGCTTCATTGGTTCCACTCTGATATGGCTGGTTGATTTCAGAAGGTGGTGCTGGGGGACTGCTTCTTGGCCCTGTGGCATTTATGCTGTGGGATCCTTCAGGGCTCCATCTTGTCCCCCACACAGGGCAATTTTTTAAAATTTTAATTAACCCCAAACAGAAACAAATAAACAATACAACAAATATAAGAACAGTGCTGGCAGGTCTACAGATAAAACATTTATGGTGGCAGATAAACATCTATAAAAGGTTTCCAAATATCTAAAAATCTGTCCATGCAGGATTGTCTATGCACCATTTGTTCAAATGTTGGAAAAGTTGTAAGGTCCCTCATCCACTGGATTACTGGAGGGGGGCATTTATC